CCCCCCCCCCGCAAATGCATTCTTTGCAGCAGCTGTCCCCGGAGACCGCCCCCTGGGCCAGTGGTGAACCAGCCCGGCAGGGGCCCTGCCCTCTGGGGTGACCGCCTTCAGATAATCAGGCCTGTTTACCCGCCTTTAGTAATGAGGCACACCCTGAGCTGGCTCCCAGAAAAGGAGGTGCAGGAAGGACACTGATTCCTCCCATCCCCTGGGGGTGCCCTGATTCTGGCCTCAGCCTGGGTAGCTTGACCTGGGATCAAAGGCTAGCTTGGGGGGCAGCTGAGTGGCTCAGTCATTAAGCGTCTGCCTTTGGCTCAGGTCATGATCCCAGGGTTCTGGGATCAAGCCCCCGCATCAGGCTCCCTGATCCTCAGGAAGCCTGCTTCTCCCTCTCCCACTCCTCCTGCTTGTGATCCCTCTCTCGTTGTGTCTCTGTCAAATAAATAAATAAAATCTTTAAAAAAAAAAAAAAGGCTAGCTTGGTAGCCGTTTTCCCTCCTATTTCGAAGCTTTTGTTCCATCATCCTCGAGCTTGTGGTGGTGTTGGCTGTTGAGAATTTCCGCCATCCTCATTCTTGTCCTTTATATCAGGGGTCAGCAGGCTTTTTCTTGAAGGACCAGCTAATTATTACGCTTGGCTTTGTTGGCTGGTGTCTGGCACAGCCCTTCTGTCCCGCCCCGCCCTGTACACAGTAAAGACACAATCCTATGTAAATGAGTGGGCGTGGCTGCACGCTAATAAAACTTTGCTCCCCCCCACCCCCCAACCCCCCATCCCCACCACTTCCTGGATGCCTGTAGGATCTTCTTGTTCCCAGCCATCTGAAATCTCTTGACGGGGAAGTAACATTGGTCGTCTTGCCTTTTCCAGCTAACATGTCTTCGCAATCGTTCCATACGCTTGCCTCCTCTTTTTGGCTGTTTGCTCTTCCGTTGTGTGGAGGCGGCCTTGTGTGGAGGCGGCTGTGTGTGTTAAGCGAGTCCCCTGCTGATGGGCATTAGATTCACTTTCGGTCTTTTGCTGCTGCAGCCAGTGGCCCTGTGTGTGGGGCATTTCACCTCCGCTGTCTGGAGGAGGCAGCTTGAGGGTAAGCAGTGTGTGCGGCTTAGAATTTCTAACTGCTGCTGAATTGCCTGGAGATCCAAATCTGGAAAGCAGCCTTCAGTGGTGTCTAAATGCAGACAGAGAAGAAGAGTGGGCCGGTTCCAAGCAGGTTGTTTTCATTGTTTTTGCTTTTGTCCTCTCACCAGAATGATCCGTTTTGTTTTTGTTTTTTTTTAACTGTTGATTTAGAAATAGTTTCAGACTTTGAAAAGCTGCAAAATAGACATAGTGTGAGGCTTACCCACCTCCCTTCACCCAGATGCACAGAGAGCCAGTATTCTACCCCTTTTTTTCATTTTGCTAAGCAGGAGGTTGGCTTTGAATGTCTGCAGCTCAGCCTGGGAGAAGGGGGTAAGGGTGTTCTTGCGGGGGCGGGCACCCTGCTGAAAGCGTCTTTTTCCTGCCTGCCCTGCCCTGTTGCCCCAGGCCCGGCTGGAGCGAGACCTGAGCAACAAGAAGATTTACCAAGAGGAGGAGATGCCTGAGTCCGGCGCGGGCAGCGAGTTCAACCGCAAGCTTCGCGAGGAGGCGAGGAGGAAGAAGTATGGCATCGTCCTTAAGGAGTTCCGGCCCGAGGACCAGCCGTGGCTGCTCCGCGTCAATGGCAAATCAGGCAGAAAGTAAGGGTGGCGCAGTGAGTGCCTCCCACGTCCCCCTTGTGTCCTAACTCCGTGGGACGTCCTCTCTCAACTCCCGTGGCTCTCGTGGGGTTTTATTTCTGAAGATGAACCAAGCCGGTGCTCATGCAGGAGCTCTAGGGACCAGGGTGTGGGAAGCCTGAGAACCCGCCCTGACCACACACAGCAAGGGGCTGCCTGGAGGCAGGGTTGTGAGGATTGGGAGGTCAGGTGGATGGAGGGCACTGCAGGAAGAACAGCATGCACAAAAGCACGGAATGGCCTGCAGAGCTCTAGGGACTGTCACAGGGCGGGTGGATAGTGCAGGACAGTGGATGCCAGGATGCTGCTGGACTGTGGGTGGGCCGGGGCCCTGGGGAATCTTGAAGGTTGTAGGCAGGGAAAGGGCACTCTGTAAGACTTCCCAGACTTTGAGGGCAGAGAAGGGTGAGGGTAGAGGCCAGGAGGAGGCTAGTAGTAGTTCAGGCATGAGGAGGAACGTGGAGGCAAATCCGGAGGGGTCTGACTGCAGGGCTCCTGTTTCACAGCTAATCTATCATGGTCCTTCCAGAAATGAGGGGAGCCCTGAGCTCGCTCTGTGAGGTGGGGAGTGCTGGGCCTGCTTTCCAGATGTGGAAATCAAGGCTCACACAGTTGAAGGGCCAGCCCAGGGTCTCCCGACCTTGAATTTTTTTTTAAGATTTTATTTATTTATTTGAGAGAGAACGTGAGGGCAGGGAAGAGCAGAGGGAGAGGGACAAGCAGACTCCCCGCTGAGTGCGGAGCCTGATGTGGGGCTCAGTCTGAGGATCTCGAACCAAAGTCAGACACTTAACCAACTGAGCCACCCAGGCACCCCTGGATTTTGCTCAGAGAACCCAGGTGGTTTTGGAGAGGGCGGAGGCCAGGGGGCATAGGCCGGCAAGGGGCTGGTCCTGAGGACCAGGCTGTGACCATGACTCTCTGCAGGTTCAAGGGCATAAAAAAGGGAGGTGTGACAGAGAACACGTCCTACTACATCTTCACCCAGTGCCCTGACGGGGCCTTTGAGGCCTTCCCCGTGCATAACTGGTATAACTTCACGCCTCTGGCCCGGCATCGCACCCTCACTGCTGAAGAGGCCGAGGAGGAGTGGGAGAGGTGAGTGAGCCTGGGCAGGCCTGGAGGGAGGCAGGACCCAGACACTGTCCTCTCCCAGCTCCCCAGAAGGGGGCTCAAACACTTGGAAATGGGGTGTGTCACCATAGCCTTCTGTGTGGCGGGGAGCTGGGTACTCGGTGGTGACCAAGCCACACTCCGCCAGGCCCTCGGGGAGCTCCCAGTTCAGTGGGGGAGACAGACACGGAAGCATCAGGGACACACAGGGCCCTGAGAGAGCTGAGGAGGGGGTAGCTGAGCTGAGCCCTGGAGCAGGAATTGGCAGAGCAGGGGAGGTTCTCCCTGGCCCGCTTGGCTTCCCCCAGGCAAGAGGGCTATGGCTGGACCAACTACAGGTAAGATCTATGTAATGTAAAGTTTACCATTTAACCATTTTTAGGTATCCACTTCAACGGCAGTAAGTACATTCACATGGTTGCACAGCCGTCACCATCATCCATCTCCAGAACTTTCTCATCTTCCCATACTGAGATTCAGTCCCCATTAAACAGTAACTTTTTGTCCCCCTCCCCTGGCTCCCACCATTCCACTTTCCATCTCTGAGTTCGACCTTTCTAGGGACCTCATATGAGTGGGATCATGCAGTATTTGTCTTTTTGTGACTAGCATATTTAATTCAGCATAATGTCTTCAAGGTTCATCCATATTGTAGCATACGTCAGTGTTTCATTCCTTTTTTTTAATTAAAAATAGTTTTAATTGGACTGTTGAATCTCAGATCTGTACCTCTGAAACAAATAATGCAATATATGTTAAGAAAAAAAAAAAGAAGATAGCAGGAGGGGAAGAATGAAGGGGGGGCATTCGGAGGGGTAGACGAACCATGAGAGATGATGGGACTCTGAAAAACAAACTGAGGGTTCTAGAGGGGAGGGGGGTGGGAGGATGGGTTAGCCTGGTGATGGGTATTAAAGAGGGCACGTTCTGCATGGAGCACTGGGTGTTGTGCACGAACAATGAATCATGGAACACTTCATCTAGAACTAGTGATGTAATGTATGGGGATTAACATAAGAATAAAAAAAAAATTCTTATGTAAAAAAAAAATAGTTTTAATTGTAAAAAACACATAAAACTTACCATCTTAACCATTTTTAAGTGTACCACTCAGTAGTGTTAAGTCCACTCACAGTCTTCTGCAACAGAAGAATGTCACTCCTTTTCACGCCACTGTTGAACTTTGTGCTATTAGATACAATCGTAAGATCTTCCTTAGATGCAGTCCTATTTTTTAAAACTTTTATCACCATGGTAAATGGAAACACCAGTCTTGTTTGTCATAAAAACAAAGGCACCCATAAACTACCATAAAAACACATGGATGTGCGGGCGCCTGGGTGGCTCAGTTGGTTAAGCGACTGCCTTCGGCTCAGGTCATGATTCTGGAGTCCCGGGATCGAGTCCCATATCAGGCTCCTTGCTCAGCAGGGGGTCTGCTTCTCCCTCTGACCCTCCCCCCTCTCATGTGCTTGCT